GTAGCACTTGTTGGCAAGAGTGATTCTACGTTGGATTTCAATGCTGACATTATTATCGGTGTTAATGCTGGTTCCCAAGTAAACGAAATTCTCTACTTTCTCGAAATTGTAACTGTCAACAGTGACGTGGGTGCCAAGGCGCGAATGTGCTGACTGTTTGTTTGATGACAGGAGATACTTCGTCTTGTCCTCGTTTACCACCAGACCCATGCGCTTTGCTTCCCTATCCAACTTGGAAAAGGCAGAACAGACTTCGCGGTTTTTGTTACCGATGATGTCGATGTCATCGGCATAAGCCAGCAATTGCACGCTCTTGTAGTAAATTGTTCCTGAGCGGTTCAGTTCTGCAGCTCTTATTATCTTCTCCAACATCAGATTAAAGAAGTCACATGAAAGGGAGTCGCCCTGTCTGAAACCCCGTTTTGTGGCGAACGGCTCGGAGAGGGCTTTTCCAATTCTGACGGAGCTGGTGGTATTGCTCAACGTCATTTTACACAGCCGTATGAGTTTTGAGGGGATGCCAAATTCAGACATAGCGGCGTATAGGCAACTCCTTTTAGTGCTGTCAAAAGCGGCTTTAAAGTCGACAAATAGGTGGTGAGTGTCGATCCTTTTCTCGCGGGTCTTTTCCAAGATTTGGCGTATTGTGAATACCTGGTCTATGGTGGATTTGCCAGGTCTAAAGCCACACTGATAAGGCCCAATCAGTTCATTGACGGTGGGCTTCAGTCTTTCACACAATACGCTCGATAAGACCTTGTAACCTATGCTTAGAAGGCTGATCCCGCGGTAGTTGGCGCGAATGGCGGGGTCACCTTTCTTGTGGATTGGGCAGAGCACACTTAAATTCCAGTCGTCGGGCATGCGTTCATCTGACCATATTCTGCACAAGAGTTGATGCATGCACCTTATCAACTCCTCGCCGCCGTACTTGAATAGCTCAGCTGGCAGGCTGTCAGCTCCAGCGGCTTTGTTGTTTTTCAGCCGCGTTATTGCTATACGTACCTCGTCATAGTCAGGCGGTGGAACGTCGACTCCGTCATCATCGACTGCGGGCTCGGGTTCTTCTTCTCCACAACTTTCCGTGCTGCTACCATTTAGTAGGGCGGAAAAGTGTTCCCTCCATAATTTAAGTACGCTCTGGACATCAGTTACTAGGTCGCCATTATTGTTCTTACAGGAGTGCGCCCCGGTCTTTAAACCTTCCGTAAGTCGCCTAACTCTCTGGTAAAATTTTCGGGCATTCCTCCTGTCGGCCAGCATTTCAAGCTCTTCGCACTCACGTATTTCTGCCTCTCTCTTCTTGTTGCGGCAAATACGTCTCGCTTCCCTCTTCAGATCCCTATAGCGGTCCCACATAGCGCGCGTTGCGCCCGATCGCAGCGTGGCCCTGTAGGCGGCATCTTTTTTCTCTGCAGCTTCCTGACACTCCTCATCGTACCAGTTGTTCTTTCGGGCTCGCTGAAATCCGACTACTTCTTCGGCGGCGGTACTTAATGAGCGGGAAATGTGGTTCCACTGCTCGCATATGTCGGTTTGTTGAAGAGTGCTCTCTGAGAGCAGGTGTGAGAGTCGAGTAGCGAAAGCGCTGGCTGTCTGTTGTGATTGCAGCTTTTCGACGTTAAGCTTTCCTTGCATATTTGGGCGCACATTTTTTGCTGCACAGAGGCGGGTGCGTATCTTGGCTGCAACAAGATAGTGGTCCGAGTCGATGTTTGGGCCTCGGAGTGTGCGTACGTCTAAAACACTGGAAGCGTGCCTTCCGTCTATCACAACATGATCGATTTGGTTTCTCGTTTTTCGATCCGGAGACAGCCAGGTAGCTTGATGGATCTTTTTATGCTTGAACCTAGTACTGCATACTACCATGTTTCGGGCCCCGGCGAAGTCGATCAGCCTCAATCCGTTGTCGGACGTTTCGTCGTGGAGGCTGAATTTTCCGACGGTGGTTCCAAAGATCCCTTCTTTGCCCACCCTGGCATTGAAGTCGCCAAGCACGATTTTGATATCATGACGGGGGCAGCGCTCGTACGTGCGCTCCAAGCGCTCATAGAAGAGATCCTTGGATGCCTCATCCTTCTCTTCCGTCGGGGCATGGGCGCAGATGAGCGAGATGTTGAAGAATCTCGCTTTGATGCGGATTGTGGCTAGACGCTCGTCCACCGGGGTGAACGACAGTACTCGGCGACGGAGTCTCTCTCCCACCACAAATCCAACTCCGAATTTGCGCTCCTTTACATGGCAGCTGTAGTAGACGTCGCAAGGCCCCAGACATTGTTTGCCTTGCCCCGTCCAACGCATTTCTTGGATGGCGGTGATGTCAGCTTTTGTCCTTACGAGGACATCAACCAGCCGGGCAGAGGCACCTTCCCCATTAAGGGTCCGGACATTCCAGGTGCATGCCCTCAAATCGTAGTCCTTTAAACATTTGCCGTGGTCGTCATCATAAGGGGGGGTCTCATCCGAGGCTTTGCCTTGCTTCTTCACTGGAAGTGGTTTTTACGTGGCGGGTCCCAAGCCCAGCGCACAACCCATTGCTGGGACGGGGGTGGTTTCGCAACCAAATACACGTTTATATAGCGAGCCGCTTGCTCCAAGCAGACACCCGCTTGCAGCCGCACCTACTGGTGAACAGACGCTGCAGACTTCAGTGAGCCCTTAAACCGAATAAGTCAGAGTGGCCCCACCGAAGCTCCCTCTCTTTCTGCCGTGACCCAAGGCTCCACTCGGATTGGTTACCGCATCTCGCACATGGGTTGCTCACGTTGCCCAGAGTGCGCGAACGAGGACGCAAGAGTCGGGATTGAGTATAGCCATGCAACTGTAACTGCATACCCAGCGCAATGACTATACCCTATTGCACTCGTTTGACTCGTAGGCCTCCTTAATTTGGAGTTAATTGCGAAAATTGTGAAAAAATGGCAAAAAATCGTAATTCTCGAAATTTACTCGATATTTGATAAGAATTTGATTTCATTTTTCCGGATTCGGTTAAAATCCGGTTACAGCGCCTTTCCATAAGGGGAACTTTTACAATTAAATAATATAATTAACTTGTAAATATTTGATTTAAATTACGTTATGCTCAAGGTACTTGTTTCATACTAGTGGTATGTACGTATTCCCAAATTATTTTGAAGAAATGACACAGTAAATATCACACCAAAAATAATTTAACTTTTAATTTAAAATGACGTAAATTTATCTGTCAGTTGAACTAAATGAAATATATGAACTAAAGAACTAGTTCAATAAGGTGAACGAACTACAACTGAACAGTAAACTCAAAAAAACTAAAGTGCGCAACTCTACTTCAAACGTCCAGGCAGCTGAGGCTGTAAGCATCTCAACAGAATGGGTATATCACATTTTGCATGCATACTTCCTGACATTCGACTGTAAATGCAACCGTGTGATCAGTTCTAACGAGTGTTTGGCGATATTCAGCTGCAATTCGAACGATTTTTGGCACTGCTTCGTAAACGCCGACGAAACATGAAACCACCACAACTCGCCAGACATCAAAAAACAATCAAGAAGTGCACCAAAAACGGTCAAAGTGGGTCTGTCGGCCAATAAGTTCATTACCACAGTTTTTTTGGGATGCACGCGGTGTCATTCAGATTGATTACCTTGCAAAGGGAAAAACGATCAGAATCGAAAAAAGTACTATTCCATCAAGGCAATGCACTGGTGCACACGTGTGTAGTCTCCATAGAAAATATCCAAAATGTCACCAAATTTAGCCCCCGGCGACTATTCTCTGTGAAATGGCAGAGCGGTAAGCGATGTCGGTCAAATGAAGAGGTCATCACTGAAACAACCTCTAATATTTAGGACTTTGAAACCCCTTTTATTTGGAAGGAATTAAAAAATTGTAAAAACGCTGGGCAAGGAGACTTTGTTGGCAAATAAGAATTTGTTTTTGTCAAAAACAAATGTTTTATTCAAATAGTGACAGGCTTGTCAAAGTACCCTCGTTCGCAAAATAACCAGCCAGTTCTTTGCCTAGAATACCTCAGTATGCCGATATCCACATGAGTTCTTAAAGAGGTGCGAGTAGTTTACGCATACTTACAGCAGCAAAGCGTCTAAAGTTTCCTTCCAGGTGACATCCAGTTCCAGTTCTCGAAGCTTAGGCGACCGGTTATATAATGTCTACACTCGATTTCATGCTGCACTTCTTAAGATTATATGTTGCATAACTTTAGACACTTTAAAATGTTCATTTCGAGAGTTTCGAAAACCAAAACTAAGCGAGAATGTTGCTGGAACAGTGCTGGAACAAAAATTATTGGCAATTACTTTTTGAATCATAAATAATATTTATTACATTATAAATAATATTCACCGATTTTTGTGTCTTTGACTTGTGGTAGGAATTAGAGTACCTTNGGAATAAAAATTATTGGCAATTACTTTTTGAATCATAAATAATATTTATTACATTATAAATAATATTCACCGATTTTTGTGTCTTTGGCTTGTGGTAGGAATTAGAGTACCTCTGAGATCGACAATTATGTAAATGAAACAATACATACATATAAGACGTCAGTTTAAAATATTCCTAAACAATGCGTAAAGGTAACGCGGAAAGGACTCGAGCTTGTAAGCACATTTCGAAAAAGTTCATTAACTTTACGATGGAAATTTCGATAAACAATAAGGACATTTGCAACATAGGATTTCATGTCTGCCTAGTGTCCAACAAATTCCGAATTAGAGCAAACTTTAAGTGCATATGCAGCACCCTGTTGGAGCATTAATTATAAAAAAAAAATTGGTTTTGGCAGTAATGTCACAGTCATCCATATTAATTGCCAATTAAGAGCTTAACAGTATTTCCACTTTCAACATAATTGAGCACAACTACCGCAATATATGTGCATAAATAATATTTATTGCAAATTTATTATCTGAATTGTTGTATGATAGTATTCATTAAAACTAAAGTGGTTGTTATTTTTTTCTAATTTAAAATTAACCATTTTTTGCACTGTCTCCTCCCCTTTCCAGCTTCAAACCTTGGTACCTAGAGGAATGCTCCTCCACACTCGCCACCACCTACAGCTCTGGCACGCCCGGTCACGATAAGAGTGTCGCTACCGTCGACATGGATGGCCGCCTACGCCCTGATCACATTTGCACCGTCGAACACACCGGTACCTCGGCTTCAGCGCCACTTGCCGCCGGTATATGTGCACTTGCTCTGGAAGCAAATCCCAATCTTACCTGGCGTGACATGCAATACCTCGTAGTGTACACATCGCGTCCGGGTCCTTTGGAAAAGGAAAGCGGCTGGATTTTGAACGGCGTCAAGCGAAAGTACAGCCACAAGTTCGGTTATGGTCTTATGGATGCTGGCGCTATGGTAAGCTTGGCTGAACAGTGGACCACCGTGCCGCCACAGCACATTTGCAAGTCGCGCGAAAACAATGAGGATCGCAAGATTGAAGGCACTTACGGATACACGCTGGCCACTCATATGGATGTGAATGGCTGTGCTGGCACCATTAACGAAGTGCGCTATCTGGAGCATGTGCAGTGTCGCATAACGTTGAGGTTTTTCCCACGCGGCAATCTGCGCATCTTACTCACATCGCCCATGGGTACTACGAGTACGCTATTGTTCGAGCGACCGCGGGACATTGTCAAGTCGAACTTTGATGACTGGCCTTTCCTGAGCGTGCACTTTTGGGGCGAGAAAGCGGAGGGCCGCTGGACATTGCAAGTTATTAATGGCGGACGACGGCGTGTCAATCAACCAGGCATACTATCCAAGTGGCAGCTCATCTTCTATGGCACTGCAGTGCAACCGATGCGCTTAAAGAGCGATTTGATGCAGCAGCAGATGCGCGTTTCGGCGGGCGTCAATCCCTACACCTATCCAACTGAGTCGGATTTGGGCCAGCCCACAAATGATGGTGGTTACTATAATGCCGATCAATTTGCCGGCTATCTGAATTATCAGAATCTTTTTACTGGTGCCGGTTCGAATCCAGAACAAGCTGTGGCTACTGTAGACGGTCACAATATACCAACACCACAACGGCAAAATGTGATGGCCGACTCGAATAATAAGCTTGTGCTGCACGATTGTGATCCAGAATGCGATTCGCAGGGTTGCTATGGCCGTGGTCCGACTCAGTGTGTGGCCTGCAAGCACTACCGCCTGGACAAGTGAGTGGAAACTGAGTGAAAAGAAGAAAAAAATCAGTTTAAATTTATAATAAAATATTTTATTTTCTTAAATATTTTTGCAGCACCTGTGTTAGCCGCTGCCCACCGCGCTCCTTCCCCAATCAAGGTGGTGTATGCTGGCCCTGCCATGAATCTTGTGAAACCTGTGCGGGCGCCGGACAAGACAGTTGTCTCACTTGTGCACCTGCGCATCTGCATGTCGTTGATTTGGCTGTGTGTTTACAAGTCTGCCCAGATGGATACTATGAAAGTAAGTATTGCCATACAAAGAAGTATGAAAACCAAATACACATTTCCTAATTTTTAAATTTGTCTGATGCATTTTGAAAGTATGATGCTTGTGCCCGAATAATGATATTTTTCTTTTATATTTACATCTTTTCATAGACTATGACAACAAAACTTGTGTACCATGTGAGGCTAATTGCGCTTCGTGTCAGGATCGGCCCGACTATTGTACCAGCTGCGAACACCATTTAGTTATGCACGAACATAAATGCTACTCTGCTTGTCCTCTACACACCTATGAAACTGAAGATTACAAGTAAGTGGAAACTGATGTTCAAATACATAGTTAATCCAGTCATACATATAGCTGCAGCCTTTATAATAATTTATGACTTTCTCGAAATAATTTTTGTGTGTATCGTTCTAACAGAATAGAGTTAATACAATTCCACTCACTCCGATTTGGGGTTGAACCCTAGCACAAAATTTATCTACGTCACCGGGCGTCGCACAGTGGAAGAGCTCCATATAAAATATGAAAATGGTAGTAAATGTAAAATTGAAAATTGTAACGTGGACTTTTTTTGCCTTGGAATTAATGAATATGAAAGTTGGTTGAATTTAACGGACTTCGACGCGCACTGCACTAGGGGTCGAATATGTCAAATTTTATCCGATTACAATTAAATTCGATTTGTAACTTAGATTAACCTAGAAAGACTTAAATCTGAAAGATTGGAAAATCGGTAACTTGCCGCGCCCACCAGCCATCCGAATTCTGGATTATAATGCGGCAAGGACTAGTAACGATCCTCCAACGCACACATTTTTCTATATTTATGGGTGTTTATGCAAAAATAGCCCTTGCTAGTCCGTGCCATATTATAATACAAAATTCGGATAGCTGGTGGGCGTGGCAATTGGGCTTTTTTCTATGTATTTCAGATCTATGTCTTCCTAGCTTAATCTAAGCTACCAACTAAATTACATTGGATTCAGATAATATGCCACCTAGTGTAAAGGGCGTGGCAGCTCGCCAATTTTTTCCAATTTTCATACTTCTCCTTAGTGGAAGTGGTTCAAATAGCAAATTTTAGGAAAATCGAGATACCTTTATTACCTTTTCTTGCAAATTTTGTAGGGATATGAAATTTGTCTTGTTATTATTTAGTTTAAAGTGTTTTTGTACCCCAGAAGAACAAAAAAAATTCATAATATCACAGAAATGTCCTTAACTCTGTAAGGGCTAGGTAAAGTTATGAGGACATGATCTGGAGCCACCCTTGCATATTCTTAAAATTGGTACATACTAATAGTTTCTGAGCCGGTGAAATGCGTATTCGAATCTTACGTAAAAATTATATTCCTATGGCACCGACTTCCTTTGATAATTTCTAGAGTAGGTTTTTTCTTGCAAAAATCCTTGAAAGCTGTTAGTAGACGTGTTGAGAATCGAGTAAACCACTTAGTTGAATATTTCCACATATTTCGAAATTAGGACTTTCTGCCACTCTCAAACCACTGTGCATCGGCAGTTTACTGTAAAATTATAATATCAAACTCAAACAACCAAGAAAATATAATACGACTTTTATGGAAGCTTGCGAATCCCTAAAATGTAGTTTTAACCATTTAAAGTTTATGACATACAATAATTATTGTATGAAATCAATAAAAAAAAAAAACAGAAACTAAAACGGATTTTCCGTTTTTCAAATAAAAGAGCTAAGGCCAAATTTCAGATGGCCTATTTGAGTAGAAATTGTTGATTAACTTAATCTTTTTTGGCAGATTCATCGTTCCAGTTCTGAACTTTTCCTTCTATGTGGTTGTTTTATTTCTCTCTTTGGGAGTGTGCGAATCTTATAGTGAACGAAGATCTGCGCCAACTACGAAGGTTGGATTCGTTTTATAATTGAACGTTCCCTTTGTCAGAGATTAGCCTAAAATTATACTACATATATATATATATATATATATATATATATATATATATTCAAATTTTTATTACTTATTTAGTTGCAATTATTTGCACAACTTGATTAGTTATCCAAACATTGCTGAAGTTGAACACATTAAGTTTTTAATTCATAAATAACCAAGTCCCATGCATTTGTGTATAAGCGTATGTAGTTTTTGTCTGTAATGCATACATAAATGTGACTGCGAAAATTATATAAAATTTTTGCATCGCTTTGGGAGTAAGTGATGCTCTGAAGTCATTAATGTGACATTTTGCTGCACGTTGTCGTGTATCGTGACACGGTTGTCACGTTTCAAACGTTAATAGGGTTGGGAACTCAACTTATATAAATAAATTTATATATGTATATACATACGCATACATATTTATGTGATTATATGCACGCATTGAACCAGTTGCAAACGCACCGTTGCATATCTTACTTGGCAGTAATTACAAACAAGCAACATCAAAGCTTATTAAATACATACATCAACGTTAAAGCTTGTGCTTGTATGTGTTGAGCTTCTTTTACCGAGCTGCATATACTGTGTATTAAGGATGTTGCGAATGTGGATTTTTAGACATATATATTTTTTTTGAAAGTCATGGCTGCCAGCTGAATTAGATTAAAACCTTCTAATTTTGTTAAAAAGGCACCCCATTTTTTGCAATAATTTGAATTATTGGAATCACGGACGATGAGCGATGCACGCAGTTTTTTTAACAGACCTATGACAAATAATATTCGATAGCTACATAACTCTTACCTAATTAAAGGTTATCTGGAAATACCTATTGAGAAATCTTACTCTTTGACTTTAAACTACAAAAGAAGAGGGACGTAGGGTGACCGTTTTAAGCGCCGCGCTTCCCAATGTTGGCAACAACCCTGCTATGTATGTATGAATGTACTAACCATACATATAAAAAAAAAAGTTCTCTAAATGCCGTGGCATATTGCAAGCAGTGGCCATCACTCGATTAACCCTAGAACACACACCCGGGTACAAATATATCCACTTTCAACTTTGAAGTGTTGTAACTTTTGAACCACTATACCTCTATACCGCTAACATAAATAGCAAGATCCGGACACAGGTTTTGGCGTGCGCGCTGCGGCAGATGTTGATGCTGCTGTTGACACCATTGATTCCACCGGTCGGTTGAAATATGCTTCAATAGCAATTTTAGTCGAAAAATTTCGCGTCACTTGACGATTTATGGCTCTGGCTTCAATAATGGGCATACACAATGCTTCAGCCAAGCTGCGCAGGATCTGCTTACGCTTGTTGTTTGTTCTCCAAGGCAACATAGGGTTATTCAAATCGTAGACAATGTAGGCTGCAAGAGCTGTAATGTCCAACATGTTGAAGAACATCGCTAGTGGCCATCGTTTTGTTTGTCTTTGTGTTGGATATTCCGCAAACATTTGGTCCATTCGATCAACACCACCTTTGGTACGATTATAATATTCAATTATTTCAGGTTTCCCACTGTCAGCTATTTCAGCATCATTATGCATGGTCGAAAGCAAAATTACTGCTTTATTTTTTTTGGGAACATAAGAGCACATTGTCACATTATTTTTGAAGCCAAATGTCGTTGAACCAATTGTCCTGTTTTTGTTCTGCTTCATTTCTTGAGGAATATATGATTTGTTTTTGCGCAAAGTTCCAACGATCGTGAGTTTCCAGGTGAGAAGCAGTTCTGCAACTGGCAAGGTCGTAAACAAATTGTCCATTGTAATGTTTCGGCCACTTCCTTGGTATTTGGCAGACAAATCCTTCACCACTCGTTCGCCTTGGTTCGTTTCCCTACCAGTTTCTGCTTGGCCAGTATATATTTGTCCATGCAGTGGATATGCATTTGTGGCATCGCAAATCCACCAAACCTTGATACCATATTTAGCAGGTTTTGACGGTATGTACTGCGTAAACCGTGTGCGTCCACGGTAAGGAAATAATTGTTCATCAATCGTCAAGCATGAGCTGGGCTTGTAATGTGCAGCAAGATTATTGTTCATCATCGTCCACAACTCACTGATCGGTGCTGCTTTATCAGTTAGTAAGCGTGTTGCACGAGTGTTTTTATCGTCAAATCTTAGGAACCGCAATATCGAACAGAAACGGTTGACTCCCATTGTGGCGCGATATAAAGGATAGTTTTTGACGCTCCATAAATCTCGAACATGTTCTCCATTGCTATGGTTCGCACCAGTCATAATAAGTATGCCAAAAAATGCATACAGCTCTGTTATTGACACAGGCGTCCATGACTTAGGAGTTGTGTTTGGATGCGCATTGTTGTAAGCATTATAAGTTTCTTTTGCTAACTTATTTGTGTGGCGCATAATTATATCAGCCATTTCAACGTTCATGAAACATTTGAATGTTTGCTCTATTGACAACATTTCAGTGCATCTAGCTGGTCCAGAACGTTCTCTTATAATATTTTGTCTGAGTACCTGACGACTTACATTTGGTTCTTTCATCCACTCAGTACCATCACGTGCAACAAATTTTTCGGCACTAGCAGGTAATTCATTATTTTCTTCTACTTCTTCTTCTTCATCGTCTTCTTCATCATCCTCATAGTCCGCATAATCAGGTAATACTTCTGCGGCACTTTGCGAAACTTCAGCATCGTCATCAGCAATTTCAATGTCATTGATTTGAATTTCTTCTTCATCTTCTGAGTCAAAGTCATAGGGAGCGTCATCGTCACAAATTTCATCAAATAAAGATTGTATATATGATTCTCGCTGTTCCTCAGTTAGCCTGCATAATAAAAAAAATTAGTATATGTTTACATTGTTGCTTATTTTACATTTTTTACCTTCTATATGCTGCACTTGATAAATATTCGTTTCTTCTTGAAGTCATTTCGTATCCAGTTATTTATAGTTTCAGTTATATTTATTTTCACTTATATTTTCACTTCTTACACTTTTGAGCACCAAAACAATAATGAAAATATCAACAGGCAGCATTTATAACAACACCTCGTGTGAAAACAACCCTTGCAGCTGCATATAAAATACAAAAACCAGTTATACCAGTGTATTTGCTACCTACGTACCCATACCTTGCGCGACCTTTTTGCACATATCTTTTGAACCAGGTAGAATATTTCAATGAAATAAAAACCAAAATGTGTATTCGTTGTTACTCTACAAGTATATTATTATAAATTATATTATTTTGTTTTGCATTTATCAGGACAACAACAAAAACAAAAATCCACTGTTGCATGTCCTGACTTTATTTGCCCATATCGCTGGAATGAAACAAAAGACAAAATACTTGCTATATATTAAAATATACATTTAAAAAAAAAATCATAGAAATCGGTTGAATAAGCATTAAAAAAACCGCAAAATAAGGTCCCGGGTACAAACGTATCCCGGGTGTGTGTTTACGTGGTATTTTCTGGGTGTGTGTTCTAGGGTTAATGTTGCTATTGCGAAACAGCCTTTTGAATATGCTGAAGGCTTGATTAAATTTAATTTAACATCGCAATGCGGTTATTTCAATGTTACAAGTAATTTTTAGCAAAAAAAAAAACGACTTCAACTCCCATATAAAAAAAAAATATATATATATATATCTCATGATCCGCTGATCGGATCTTAACCAGATTAGTATAGGACCACCTCTGAGACACTACCTTTCCGAATTATCGAAATCGGTTGACGTGGTCCAAAGTTATGCGGTAACATACATAAAAAAAAAAATAAAATAAAAAAATAAATATTCCGACGAACTGATAACCTCCTTTTTTGGAAGTCGGTTAAAAATGTAGTGTTAATGAACTTATAAGTATTGTTGCATTTACAGAAAAGGCTGAATAAGTTCGGGAAAAAAATTTCGGAGTAATTTTTAAATCGCTACCTAAAGGTAAAAAGGTGCCAAATCCACTTTTCCAAATCAAGTTTTTGATGCAAACTGACAGATAATGTGAAACTACAACGATTTTTTGCCTCTTCTGAACAGTTAAAAAAAAAGAAAACCTGGCGTCTTGTCACCCACTTTGGAAAGGCCGGCACTAGCGTGCCATTGGAGAGGACCAAGTTTCGAGTCCTCGTGCTGTGGGATTTTTTTCTTTTTATGATTTATTTTAATTTTTAGATTTTATTTATTTTATTTATAATAACTGTTTTCTTTATTTTGACTTTTTAGATTTAAATGTTTTAATAAGAAAAATATTATTTTAAATTACGTTAAATTTTTGGAACCCTCTTTTCTTAAAAATATAACGCTATCTTCAGTAAAAATTTAAATTTTAGGAACTTATGTAAGTTCTACTTTTTTAATATTCTTAAATTAATTTATGTTTTTTAAACTTTTTTAATTTTATTTTATTTTTGAGAACTTACATATTTACTTGTTTTTATTGTGTTTACTAACTATTAATTTGCTTTAAGTTTTTTGTTTTATTGTTTTAAAGAAAGAAATATATATGCGTTTTTTTAATTTCATTTAATTTTGAGAAAACTTATTTCTAAAAGACAAACAGAGTAACGCTAAGGTCACCCCGTTAGACAGAAAATACCTTTCAAGCTAGTTGCCAGAGTTGACATTTGTCTTACGAAAGACTTTCGTTGTCTTAAATATATAACGTCACTGGGAAACCGGAGAACAATATTCTCTACTCAGCTTCGACGAGAATGTATGTTTCCTTTCTTATACTTTCAAGTTATGTATTCTATTGAACTTTAAAGAGCAACAATAGTTTAGCAAATGAAAGTTTTGTCAATCTGGTGAAAAATAGGGCATACACGGGCTCACCGATCTTAATATGTCAGAGAAATGTGAATGCAGTTTTTTGCCTTTTGAGAACCTATTTTCTAAAAAGTTTTTTTTTTGTGAACCCATTGTATGTGCTGTATAAAAATGTCACGCAAATGATTCTGAACAAGATCAGTGTAATTATTATAAATATGTAATTATGATTGAGGTCTATATTTTATTTCAATCCTAGAAGAAAAATATTTTCACCAAATAATTTCATCTTTCAAAATACCATATATATATTTATATATGTAGTGCTCGAATTATTCACATTAATATTGTTTGGCTGGTTGAAATTAAGCACCTCTTCCGTTGCGGAAAGAAGTTATTCGGAGATGAAATCACAATGCTTATTTATGTCTGGGCGATGAGGAGTTGTTTGTTTAAGCATGACTGACGATTGACTGCGAAATTTCTCGGCTGTCCGTCGTGGCTGCTGTTTTTTTACGTCGAGCTTTCTTGACAATACCCGTTCTTACCTACTCGCTGTTGGCGTCTCGGATAAAACGGGTGCCAGAACGTTCCAAGTGCTTAGTTTCATGATCAATGAGCACCCGGCATGAGTCGATGAGATTTTCTTCGTTGTCGGAGGTGTTGAAATGAAGGCTGAATTTGTCGATTGTTGGACGCCATATTTGATCCCAAGAACAAAATCATACATAGGGGTATGTTGTCATACAAATATTTATCCTTCATTCGACGTGTGCAATTCTTTCACTGATGAACCTGAACCTGGGGACAAGGTGATTCTTATAGACATGTCGCTTTCATTGAATTTCCTGGATTGCGGTGATGTCAGCCTGGTATTTTACGAGAATATCCATCAGTTGCATAGAAAGAAAAAGGTGAATGTCTATAAATGGTAGTCCACGTTTCGTTGTGGATTGTCCTTGCTAGGCCATTTCATTATTTTGTCCTTTTTACATGGCGGAATGAGAAACACGAAGAAGGGAACACCACATTTCAACCACTCTCATCATCCAAGTTTCATGAGAAACCGGTTTTAAAACAATTACCTATAATCGCGCTGATTACACAGGGCAACACTGATCTTGTTTCCGAAAATGCAAAAGCTGTTTTTGATACAGTTTTTTGTACTGATAACGAATCTGTAAGTATAGATTTTGAGAAAAACGTGTTCAAAGTATAAAAAAATTGAGTTTTTTACAATATTTATTTGAGAAGCTCTAGCAAATAAATAAATGTTGATAGAACCTTCCACTTGGAAATGGAAGTGAAGAGTCTACAGCCTTTTGTTTAATTGCGGTAGCTACACAAACTTCACCAAAATCAGTTTTTCCTATTCAACAAATGACTATAAGTGACCATCAAATCAAGGTGCACGAATACTATCTTCAGGGATAGAGTCGAGAGTTCTAGCTTTGTTTTTTTATGCTAGAGCTTCTCAAATATTGCAAAAAACACCATTTTCTTAAAATCTAAAGCCGATGGAAACTTTATACTTACAGATTCTGAATCAGCACAAAAGAGTCTGTCAAAAGCACAGCTTTAACATTTTAGGAAACAAAATTGTTTCCCATTTTGTTGGCCTGTGTTATTTGCTATTAGCTAGTAATAAAAAAAAATCATTAATGCAACACATAAGCAAATATGAAATAATTGAGCAATATTCGCAACACTTCAGTCATAGTGGTTGTGTAATTAAGGAAAATATTGCGTTTGATTAAATAATTTTTTTTCTCAATTCGCATATTTTTATAAATTTGATGATAATTTTTTCACTTTGATATGTGTATGTACAAATACATGTAAATATTTAAATATCGTTTATTCAAGCGCATTTTATAAGCACTCTTATTTTTTTATAATATTCTCCGACCGCTCATAATTCATAAACATTTTATACTTTTTATTTATTGCACGCAAGTGTTACTGTAATTAGTTTTCAATTAAATTTACATTAAGCCATTTGCTATTGTATTGTTAACTACATGAATATACATTTGTATATATGTACATATGTATGTGTGTTTGTACATGTTCGTCGAAATATTTTTTTTTCTACTTTCCGACAAATTATGAGGTTTTCTGATTCCATTGAAANGAATTGTGTTTCGATTACTTTATTTCGGTGCGAATGTAAACACTAGTATTAATTGCACTTATCGGCCTACAAACATATAGCACTTACAGTACTATATATTAAATTGAAGAACGGTGTATGTATGTACTTATGTATGTATATGCAAACAAACACAAATGCATACAAAATTTTTGGTAAGCCGGCAAATTGTTTTGATATTTATCTCAATTTTTTCCTATAGGATGCAAAATTATTGCTGTTAAAAAGGGATCTACCCAGATAGGAAAATTGCCAGACATCTGTTAGATATCCCTCGGACTCGAAGTCTCGAACTTACATGGGAAATTCTAACTTAATTGCCGACGATTCTGACCAATATATATCTGAATTATTTTGTGATGAGTCTAACGGATATCTAACAGATGTCTGAACAAATAATCATGGGAAATTCTGACTTAAATGCCGAAGAGCCTGATTGATATCTAACAGATGTCTGTATAAGAAATCATGTAAAATTCTGACTTGTTTGCCTGGCGGATATCTAACAGATTTCGGGAGAAACGTTCAATTAGAATCTTATTACAATGACTTCAAATCTATTTGTTTGTTATTCAATTTAACTCAATTTAATATAAATTGTTTAACTATATTTTAATTGTTGCACTTCATTTTTTCGGCCTTGTTCATCCTGTCTTTGGAAATGTTAACAATTTTTTTAATTGGTTCTTCCACATGGAAGCTTGAAGTTTTTGGTATATTTTCCAATAGCAAATCTTTTGAAAATAATTAAATTATCATCAACATTAGTGCGAAAATATTAGTCACATACCTTTTAGAAGTTTTATGTTTAAAGTTGAGGTCCTTGACTGTTATATTATTTTTCAACCTTTAATTGTAAAAGGCAAGAAAAAAGGCCTTATTCCTGGTAATCTGAAAGTTTTAAACGTTCCATATTTAAATTGGCCGCCATCCGTGGTATTAACGCACGTCGAGCGCACGTTTGGTATATTCAAGGCTTTTCTTCGTAAAAATCGAATGAAAATGTGGCCCGAAAACTTCAAAGTTATGTGAGTTAAAAGCACGAAAAGAGAAAACAGTCAAAGATTCAAAGTAAAGCTTTTCATATAATGAAACTAGTTCATAGTTTTACTCTTTTTACTTGTAAACTAAATATTTCTAAAATAAATGTATTTTTTGATTATTTTTCAGTTGGCGCCTTTTTTCGTGCCTTCTCTTGCCTGTTTTGCGTATTTTAGTGCCTTTTCCCGCCTATTTTGCTCTTTTATTTTGCCTTTTTTTATAGGGTTTTAGGTCCTAAAAATCCATTCCCTAGTTATCACAAAAATTTATCGATAAGGGTACAAGTATATTTCGTTATCGTTATATGTATGTATTGTATCCTAGTAATAATAATTGGTTAACTACAAAGCAAAGCCTGTATTCAATAAATTCACAATAGCCGACATACATATAAATATAGTGCCTAGTTTGCAACTAGCCGGGACGTGTACAGTGATATACCTATTTAGCTTTGCAGATTTGTTATATAATACACACACATAGATACATTCATACATATGCATATGTATCAACTTGCGTTTATTTGAGATAACTAAACCCAGATTCCACTTATCGGCCTACATAATCTCAGTTTGATGTAACCATTGCGGATATCTTGCGGAGCAAACGAGATATGCACGACATAGTTTGTATTTGTATTAATTTTCGCGTGAGGAAGTGAATGTATAAAGGTAAATAGAGTGCAGGACATAATAATAAGGCCACATTATGTTGATAACTTTTGACTTTTTATTTCTTATAACGT